CTGAACCCTAAACCCTAAACCCTAAACCCTAAACCCTAAACCCTAAACCCTGAACCCTGAACCCTGAACCCTATCCCCCACAGCAAGGGCCCTCTGATTCCCTGGGTAGCCCGGCAACCACATTTTGATAAGGGTACCCTTTGTGGGGTCGGTTACTTTCACCCCTAAACCCTAAACCCTAAACAAACCCTAAACCCTAAACCCTAAACCCTATAAACCCTAAACCCTATGCACCGCTGGGCTACCAAGTTCCACAACTATCACTCGGGAGGCCCGCCGCGAATAGCCTAAGCGCCAGAAGGTGCCGAATTGAGGGGGTTTGGGGGTCCAGACCCTAAACCCTAAACCCTAAACCCCAAACCCAATCTGGGGGAGTTTTGGGAATGGGACCAGTGCCAAAGTCGGCAGCCTGGTTGGCCGGCAGGTTCCGCTTGCCGAAGCAGTCCTCAAAGGAAAGCACGGTTTAGGTTTTAGGGTTTGGGGTTTAGGGTTCCAGGTTTGGGGCTTAAACTCGAGGTTCGAGCTTAGGGTTTGAAGTTTGGAGTTAAAGTTTAAGCCCCAAACCCTAAACCCTAAACCCTAAACCCTAAACCCTAAACCCTAAACCCTAAACCCTAAACCCTAAACCCTAAACCCTAAACCCTAAACCCTAAACCCTAAACCTCCGCCCCTCCTGCTCCAGGCGGTATTGCTGAAGGCCGGCAGCCAGGCAAACACGCAGGATGTCGGCCGAGATGCGCAAGTCTTGCCTGGAGCGCTTGGCTCGCTAGCCCCTGAGGGTTTAGGATTTAGGGTTTGGGGTTTAGGACCCTAAACACTGAATCCCTGAAGCTGTGGTTTTAGGCTTGGTTTCGGGTTGAGGCTTGAAGGCTTAGGGAGGTTTAAGGCGTAGGGAACCTGATTTAGACATTGATCGACTGACATCTAACCGCTCAATTACCATGGGCCTCCATTTCCAGATGTTTTTTCCTTTTTGGAAGGGGGGGGGGGGTTCCCTAAAGCCCGGAAGCCAAAATACTGAAATCCTAAAGGCCCCGGAAAGGCCAACAAACCCTTGAGAGATAGAGGCCCCAGAAAACAAAGCCCCGCCTGAGACGTAAGCCCGGAAATAGCCTCGAAGCCTTAACGCTGCAAGCCCTTAAACCCCAAACCCCTACGCCCGACAAACATTCCTAGCTGAATTCTGAGTTGACGCATTAGGGTTTAGGGTTTAGGGTTTAGGGTTTAGGGTTTAGGGTTTAGGGTTTAGGAGAGGTCGGGGCTGGAAGGCCTACGGCTCATGTGTCTAGACTTCGGCTTGCTCAGGGTTTAGGGCTTTAGGGCTTAGGGTTCAGGGCTTAAGGTTAAGGGTCAAGGGTTAAGGGTTAAGGGTTAAGGGTTAAGGGTTAAGGGTTTAGGGTTTTAGGGTTTAGGGTTTAGGGTTTAGGGGTTGCATACAGCTTGATAGCACCTTGAAAAATCGTAGGCCCTCTATACTGCTTCCCTTAATTCGGCCTGCTTATCTCTGAATCTAGGAGGGGTAGTATGGGGGGAGGGGGGTAGGGGGGCGGGGGTTGGGGAACCCATGAGTTAAGCTAAACGGTAGGTAGGCAAAGTTCCAGGCGAGGCCTTGAGACCTTGCCCTCATAGGGGGGTTCAAGGGGGGGGCATATAACCACAGGGTTTCCTAATACTCCCCACTATCCCTAAGCTTCCCTGAATCTGAGGTGCCCCAGGTACCTACACCCCATAAACCCCCCCTCCCTTACGAACGCGATGACTTAACCCTAAACCCTAAACCCTAAACCCCTGAATAGCTCAGCTTGGGCAGGAATATCCCACCAAGTCCTCAACCCTCGAAGACTGGGGCATGAATGCGGGCTGAACAATGTGCTAAGCACTTTCTGTGCTGCAGGATTTAGGGTTTAGGATTTAGAGTTTAGGGTTCGGGGTTTAGGTTTTTTGGTGTAGGGTTGACCTCCAGGTTTTAGGCTTGCCCCGGCGAAAGGGCCGTGGACTCTTCAGTCGTTGCCGATGCACCGCGCTCTCGTGCCCCCTCGAAGTCCAACTGTCGAGCAAGCGCTTCCGTCGACGATCTCCAGCGAGAGCCACAGAGCCCCAAGCCCGAAAAACCAAGACCATAAAGCGCTAGAACCTAAACCCTAAACCCCTACACCCTAAACCCTTACCCCTAAACCCCGAACCCCTAAACCCCTAGAGCCTAAAGCCCCCACACCCTGAACCCCAAACGACGCAAAAGCGGCTCGCCGGTACTGGTCGCCAGGGCCGGGTCGGCTGGCTCGCGAAGCCCAAGGCCTGGTTGAAGTCTGGGACACTACAGGGCTCAGGGGCTGTTAGGGTTCAGGGTTCAGGGTTTAGGGTTCAGGGTTTAGGGTTCAGGGTTTAGGGTTTAGGGTTCAGGGCTAGGGTTGAGGGCTTTGGGTTTCGGGTCAAGGGTCTAGGGCTTGAGGCTTCTCAAAGGTGTTTCGAAGTGTTGATGTTGTTGTTTAAGAAAGGGTTTGTTCAGAATGTGCGCAGGGGCTGTGCTAGTTGTTGCTGCGTTTTTGCTTTTATGTCTCAGGCTTGTAAACTCTAAACCCTTAACCCTGAACTCAACTTCGATTGAGCGGGTAAATCGGAGCGGAGAGGAGTGCAGGCAGGGGCAGGCTTGCCAGCCTTTTTTGCCACCCCCCCCCCCTATGCTGGCAAGGGGTTTAGGGTTTAGGGTTTAGGGTTTAGGGTTGTTTAGGGTTTAGGGTTTAGGGTTTAGGGTTTAGGGTTGTTTAGGGTTTCGGGGAGCAAAGCCAAAATCTCCAAAACCCGTCAAGCCTCTTGGCAGGGCTTCGTAAATCCCTGACAAATACTCAAACCCTCATACAAATAAACCCTAAACCCTGACCCTGAACCCTAAACCCTCCTAAACCCTAAACCCTAAACCCTAAACCCCAAACCCTAAACCCCAAACCGAAATCACGCACCCACTTCGCACCCAGCGCCCGGCGCCTGTCGCAAAGCCCTGCAACCTCGGATCTTCAAAGGCGTTGCCACCCAGAACCTCCAGTGGATGAAGGGATCCTGGGGGTTTAGGGTTTAGGGTTTAAGGGGTTTAGGGTTTGGGGTTTGGGGTGTAGGGTTTAGGGTTTAGGTTCACGTTTAGGGTCTAGGGGGTTTAGGCTTTGGGGCTTTGCGGTTGAGGGTCGAGGAGTATGAGGGCTTCCTCAGTATGCCTTCCTTGAGTATCCCCCTAAACCCTAAACCCTAAACCCTAACCCTAAACCCTAAACCCTAAACATTCTTTCACGCTTTGGCTTTCACACTATCTTTCTCTTCCGCCCTTTGCCCCAAAAAACTGACCCACTAGCCCTACACCCTTGTTGGGGAGGGCTTTGGGAGTTGAGGGTGAGTTTGAGGCCTCAGGGTTGAAAAGGGAAACCCTAAACCCTAAGCCCTATAAGCCCTAAGCCCTAAACCCTAAACCCTAAACCCTAAACCCTAAACCCTAAGCCCCAAACCCTAAACCCTAAACCCTAAGCCCTAAGCCCTAAACCCTAAGCCCTAAACCCTAAACCCTAAACTCCAAGCATCCCTAAGCCCTAAACCTGAAATCGCGGGTTCTCAGCTGGTCTGGGTTGTGAGGGCGTTTGGGTTTTGTTTGCCGAACGACCTGAGACCACAAGCCAGCGGATGCCTTGCGACCTGCACCCATGACTCTCTAAACCCTAAACCCTAAACCCTGGACCCTAAACCCTAAACCCTAAACCCTAAACCTTAAACCCTAAACCTTAAACCCTAAACCTTAAACCCCAAAAGGGTAGTTCTATGGTCCCTTAAAAAGGCCCCTTACCTTCTTTCAAAAGGGGTCAGGGCTCTTGGGTTTTATAGGGTATATGTTAGGGGTGTACAAGGGCTCCCCCATTTGAGGGCCCATGCTGAGGGACCATGAGAGGGTTTAGGGTTTAGGGTTTAGGGTTTAGGGTTTAGGGTTTAGGGTTTAGGGTTTAGGGTTTAGGGTTTAGGTTTAGGAACACTGAAACACTGCTTTCATAAGCCCCCCCCCCCCCAAACACACAACTAACAAAGAAGCCCTGGAAGGTCCGGCCAAGCTCCTCATCGAAACCTCTTGTTGTAAGCTCAATTTAACTAGACCCGGGAGTCACCTCGGAATAAAAGGTCACCCTTTTTGGTTTTAAGGGGATTATAATTATAAGGGAACCCCAACCCTAAAAAAGAGAAATAGGGCCCCACTCCCGGTCCTAGATAATGTAGGAACCCTATGCCCTGAAACCCACGTAAAAAACAAAAAGTCCTAAACCCAAACCCTAAACCCTAAACCCTAAGCCCTAAGCCCTAAGCCCTAAGCCCTAAGCCCTAAGCCCTAAGCCCTAAGCCCTAAGCCCTAAGCCCTAAACCCTAAACCCAAACCCTAAACAATGTTAAACCCCCTTTTTTTTCGTGTAGCCCTAGGAACCCAAAAGAACTGCAAGCCGAGCAAGACCCAGCTCTTCCAAAACCTCTTGATTCGTTTTTTTTTTTTAAGAATATACTCAAATTCATAACTTGGCTGCACTTAGGAGTGTAGTAAAAAAAAACACACTTTTAGCTGCCTTATTTAGAAGGCCCAATGAACCCGAAAAGGCTGGGGATCTAAAGTTACGGTAAAGCACCACAAAGATAATAAGGATCTGTTCCTTAATTAAGGGGTTTTGGAAGATCTGGGAAACAAAAGCTGAACCCCCAAAAATCCACTAAGCCGCAACCTTCAGGCCTGAAGATCCCAAAAACCGCAACGTCTCGGGCTTGAGGTTTGGAGTTTGGGGCCTGTTTGACCCTAAATCCTAAACCCTAAGCCCCTAAACCCTGAACCCTAAACTTGCCCCAAACCCTAAACCACCCGATCTTCCAAAACCTC